GGATGGTTTTTGTCATGTTTCTAGTTTAGTTCCTGTTGCTGTGATAAACACAATGACCAAAAGCAACTTAGGGAAGAAAGTGTTTATTTGGATTACAGGTTATAGCCCATCATCTGGGAAGCCAGAGCAGGGACTCAAGGCAGGGACTCAATCAGAAACTAAGGAGGATGGAAGCTTTCTGGTTTGCTTCCTTTGGCTTGCTCATCTTTCCTTATCCAGCCCAGGCCCACCTGCCCAGGGATAGCACCACCATAGTGGGCTGGACCCTCCCACATTAAAAAAAATAAAACCCCCCACAGACTTGTCCATAGGCTAATCTGCTAGAGGAAATGGCTCTGTTCAGAGTTCCTCTTCCAGGGATAGTCTAGGTTTGTGTTAAGTTGTGCATCTTTCAGTATGATCTTAAGGCTCTGGTCTCCCTTGATGCTGCACAAGCAGAGACTGGACAGGGCATGGGTGTGTGTGTGTGCCTGCAGAGCTGGCCACTGGGATCCCCAGTCTAATTCTCTAGTTCATGGTTGATCTCTCTTTCTCTCTCACACTCCTCCCTCAGGAAGCACATGTTGCCTGTTTTTCACCATGTGCATCCTGTCCTTGCTCTCCCTGACCCCCTGCCCCTACTCAGAGCCTCCATGTCCTACAACCTCTGATCAGAAACTCCCAAAGCCCCATCCTCTTGGGTGTCCCCAGACCCTTTGCCCTCCTCTCTGAGAGACCCACATCATTGTCCCTGTCCCCTCTCCCTCCTATGTATTTGCACACTAATTACTCTCAGCTGAGAAGTCCTGGGAAGTCCACACCTCCTCCATGTCTGCATGTGGCACAGCAACTGCCTGCCAGAGTGACTGCACATGACTCTAATAAATGGAACAATATTTATTGAAAAACACATTTAATTTCAAAGTAAACAAAGATGCCTGTACATTAAAGTATTTAATTAGTGAAACAATTATCAGTGTAACAAGCTGAAAAATACAGCAACTTGATACAAGACTGAGGTAACAAAATACTTCACCAAAAATCTAAAGAATCCCAAGGAGGGATGATGTTCAGTGCTTATTGCAGATGAGACAATTTACAAATAGTAGAGAAAGTCCTTACACAACTGCATGCAGGGTCTTCTGGGAAAAAAAGACAGCTTGGGAGGATGCAGCATTATTTAACAAGAAACAAACTAAGATGTAGAAACTCATTTTCAGTTTACTTGGAAGAACACATAAAGAAACTGAAAACTACTCTCTATGCAACATTTTGAATGCAAAGTGGGAAACCATGCATTTTGGCACAAAATTTATTAAAGATTATATACCTCATTAATAAATGAATTACTATTATTTTAATTACTGAATGGTCACAGTCCCTCCAAAATAGGCAGATGATATAACACCTTGCTGCTGTGAGTGGGAACTTGGGGCTGTCCACAGGACACACACTTGCGTAGCAGCAGGTTGCAAGACAGATCAAAGTCCAAGTCCAAGTTCTCAGCTCCCAAGGACATGGAGCTCCCTTCCACTCATACTGTATTTGAACTTAACACTGAAGTTAAAGGCTAAAAGGGGAAGCCTGTGAATACTGTGACCCTACTCTCTCATTCTGCCTTTGGCGTGCTCCCTTGTAACCATTCCTGAACACAGCTCTGTATCTGGCTACTCAGAGCCAGCCAGCCTCCAGTGTGGGGCAGTGGTACTCCAGCTAGCCCTCAACGCAACTGACTCTCACAGAAATCCCATGTAGTCTGTTTGGGCCTTCTGAAAGTCTTTCTGGAAGAACCAAAACACAGGATTTGTGTTCAGTGGTAGGGGAGAGCAGGGTCTTGCCAAAGTTGGTATGTGAGGTGGGGATTATTTGTTCATCGACTGGTAAGGCCAAAATTGTATTGTCTTGTTTCTAGCCACTTTCATTCTGGGTATAGCCTGGTGTATAGGAAGTACTCACTAGAGATATGAGTGAATGTTTATGCAAAAAATACAATTTCAAAGGGTCTTTGTGCAGTGGTTTTCTTTTTTAAAACATGAAACCACCCAACATATAGATATGACATAGGGCCAATTTAAGGGTCACACAAAAGGAAGGCTGTGGTTTTGGCAATATTCAATAGTGGTTGCAAGCATCTGCAATGTCGGTGCAGAGCTCTGGAACCCACTGCAGACTAAAGCAGCTTTAGCTGATAATCAGCTTCCCAGATTTACAGATCAATTTCTACCTGAAAATGGTATATATAGGCTTGGGAGGTGAGAGTAAAATGGTGGAAGAAACGCTGGCCATCTTGGTAAGAAAGAGAAATAGAGAGATCCTGCTGGCAAGACAAGGTAGGTCCTTCACTAACAATTCTACTGGATCCACCTGCTCGGCACCTCCATCTGGCAAGTGCTCCATGACATCTGGTCAGGGGAGGGGAGGGGAGGGGAGAGGAGGGACCACACTTTCCCACTGGCATGTTTAGGGCAACGTTTCTGCTGCTTTCCACCAAATCCAGTCTCCACAAGGCATTTTGCTTGCCAGCATACACTTGGCTGACCCTGGAGAGGGATAGAAGTTACTTCCATCGTGAGGGAGTGGGATCTTCTTGGGACTTCACAATACTACCAGCTGTCCATCTTAGTTTGTAGACAGCATTCTACAGTTTTCACTTTGGGGGCACCACAATCTGTTTGCATGACAGTGCATGACTTAACACCTCCAACAATTTCACAGTATTTGTCTACTAGTATGGACAGTCTAGCAAAAATGCAGAACTGCTTCCTTCCAGGCAGAGTCCACCGAGGGATTTCTGCCTCTGTCACTTGACCTGGCCACCTCCCCTGCAGCCTGTGGAACAAGCCAACCCTGGGGATATCAGCACTGGACTATATGCTTGGCCTAAGGCCCTGCTTGAGGGTCAAAATATTTTAACTCTGTCTCCAGAGCTCTTCTGCCACCTTCAAGGCTCTCAAGAGTCCTTCAAGGTTTCTTGTTTTGTTTTGTTTTTTACTAGTAAAAGTCCAAGCAGTTTCTCCATGGTGAGGGTGCTTCTGGGAAGGGAGTCTTGTTTCACTTAGGGAGATTGGACACTTTGAAAATAATGTGATTGTGCTCTTTCAGATCAGGCCCAAAAGAAAACACTTGTGTTGGGTTAGACAGATCTGTAAATGGCAGAATGGTTTTCTGAGTGGAGACTGAAATTCTGAGGCTTCTGATGTTTGATATTTCATGTGTGAGAACCCAAAACAAGTCGAAGAGTGGAGAAGCCTAAAGGAAACTAGCAGCTGATGTTCTGGTCTTGCAGTTTTATTCAAGCTTCTGACTTTTTAGAAGTTAACAGGCAGGATCAGAGTTGAAGTGTGACCATGGCATGGTTCTAGGCGGAGGTGTCTGCAGTGTTTGGCATTGTCATTCTTCTAGATTCTAACTGGAAGAGATGTTGGTAAAATCTGGTGAACATGCCTGGACCCCCGGTACGGGGAGATGTGCAAGGCAGCTGTGGTCAAGTTTTGATGGCATCGACTTTACCACCTGGAGTTTCTCTTGGCATGAAAATGTTCAGGCTCTGCTCACATGAAGGTTAGCTTTGGAATACAGTGAGGCTTGACTAAAAGGTACCACTATGGTAACAACTACTTGCTGTACCAAGTCATTAACATTTTTAGAGAAGTATCCCCATTCAGTTTTAATACAATGGTGGGTTTTCTGGTGGTAAGTTCATGGAGATGATGTTGTCTGAAGCTTCTTGATTATTGTTGGAAGTTCTCTGGGATGGTTTGATAATCAGTTATTGTGTATGACCCAGATACCCACAGGGACCCAGAAATTCAGCCTTTTCCAGGAAATCGTTTGAGGGTTTGCTTCCCAGGGTTAGAGTACCCAGATTCAAGGAGGAAGAGGAGGGGGACAGAGGGCATCTGTGATGATAAAGAGCTTGAATTAAAAATGTGCAAAATTAAAGTCACCTTATGTATGACGAAAAGTGATGGATAAAGGTCCTTGCTCATGAATTCAGAGGCTGGAGATCTCACTTCCTAGGGCTCGGCTCTCTTGTCATCTGGCCATCAACAACTGGGCCCTTGGACTTGGAGAACGTGCTGGTGACTACATTTAGGGGCAAGACTGAGGAGGCGTAAGGTCTCCATGTCACTCAGCTCCCTGTGTGTGTGATCAGGAATCAGTGTGGCTGGCCCTGGCAGTGGTGGCAAGGGGGTGAGAAGACAGGAGCACAAGTCTGCCCTGTGGGAAGGGGTGGGGGGCCACTGATCACAAGCTGCTGGGAGAAAAGGCCACAACTTCCCATGCCAGCATGGTGGGAGTGGGAGAGACGAGGAAGGCCAAAGGCCACCAGGAGAGCTCATGGTAGGGAGCACGCATGGTAGGGAGCAGTGCCCAGTGCATGGTCCTGAGACTGTTTCTGCCTTGGGAGGGCTGACAACAGGACCCAGGAGGTCCTGGGGCCCAGGGAACAGGCCATCCAGATGAATAGCACCCATAGGAACAGAAAACAAGACACGACTTAAGGCATTGTTTGTTTACAGTAAAAGAACTCAAGGGACTCTTGACATGGAGCTTCTGGACTCCCTTCAGACTTAGAGGACAAGGCTGTATGTAACTAAAGCTTCAAGCAGGGCCTCAAAGTCAACAAGTGTGTAATGTCACAAGTCCTGTGCCAAAATGTATGTTTCTCAGGGAGCTCGCACTCACTCGCTCACACGCACACATGTACAGCACGCACACAGAGGATACTTTGGGGGTTATACAAAATCTGAGGCAGCCCTGCGGGTGAGCAGCCCGTGCACTTGGGGTGTAACAAGCCTGTCCAGCAACCTGTCTCTTATCTCCAGCCCTCTCAAAGGTT